CATCAGTATAGCTACCGGCATCTCTAATTCATTTGCGGTTACTGATAGCGGTTAGTATTATAAAACAAATAAAAAACATTTACAAAAGGACCTGTAGGAGTACACATATTAAAGAAAAGCGAATAAGTCTTAAATTTGCTTCCTTATATTTTTTAACCGTGGGTTTCTGAGGACCCAATCTCTGTTTTAAATATTTTTATTTCTGTTAAGTGAACGATAATGAATAGTTAACGATATACAGAGATTTTGGTCGAAGCAATCCATGGTTGCAAAATGATACTACGACGATTCTTTGTAAAGTCCATTTCTCTATAATCAAAGACTTATAAAAAACACAATCATGATTATTAACTCTACCTCACTCTTGGAAAGTGATACAACAGCGCCACTTTACCTAGTCCGTTTCTTTGTAATCAAAGGCTTAAAAACACTATTTTTAAGTAAATTTATAATTCATCATCATCAGCTCAATACACGTCCCTAACAAGGGGCTTAGAGCCTTTTTTACGGGGGGAAATGCAGTTCCGCACACCTGCGCGCCGGGCCATAGTGCACTGGCGCAGGTGTGGGGCTCGTCTACAATCGTTCGGCCATACCCAGTAAAACCCCTCAGGTCCTCCACCTCGCCTTGCGGCTGGGTCACGGGAACACTTGCGCAATCTTCCGCGACCCAGTCGGCAAGGAGCTCGGAGACTATCCTAAGTCAGCACTGGCTCACTGCGGGTTGACTTCACACATATCTTTGGTCTTGTCAGATATGTACAGCATCACGATGTTTTCCATCACCGTAAGAACATGGTATAAATGTTTTGTTTGTGTAATGTAGGCGAGGCGTTTTCGTGGGGTATGGGCAGCGAGGGTCAGCTGGGCACGGGCGCGGCTGCAGACGCCAGCGAGCCCACACCGCCCACCAGCGCACCCTTCGACACACGCAAACCCATCAGAGTCTCCGCTGGAGGACAGCATACTGTCTTACTTCTGGTTAGTTTACTATTTGCAATACTAACATTTTATAAAAAAAATTAAAAACATGAAAATTTTTTTATCTAACGGAATAATAAGATGATTTTTTTTTACATTTTTTATATTATTGTGTAATTGTGACTTACTTCATATCTTACTAATATTATAAATGCGAATGTTTAGATGGATGGATGTTTGTTAGGAGATATCTCCATAACGGCTGTATGGATCTCGATGATGTGGCATAGATGTACAACGTAACCTGGAAGAATATATATAGGCTACTAATTAATTTTTTTCTTAATTCCGCGCAAACAAAGTCGCGGATGACAGCTAGTCTTTAATAAAGGTTACTACTTTAGTATTGGGCACAATTGGGCAACCGCCCAGGGCACTAGACAGAAAGGGGTGCCACAAGTCACAGAATTACATTCAAAATTAGAAAAAATCGCGTCATAAAAATCTTTCCCAGGACACTAGTAGAGCTAAAACTTTTAGTATGGAGATTAGTCATAAATAAATATTTGTCAACAATTCCACCTGATATTAAGAATTCTAAAGATAAGTATTCATTCCACTACAAAAAAGTGTTGAATCAAAATCAAATATTCAACAGGAGGAGACAAAAGAATTATCACCACCTCCAGAGAATAAAGTAGAAATGGAAACAGTCGAAGAGACGGCGGAGGAGCAGGAACCTGAAGAGGAGAAGGTGGAGAAGAAGCGGCCGGTGAAGAGACAGAAGAAGCAAGAACAAGACGAAGAGATATCGTCCACATCGACTGCGCAGTCCGCGGAAACTAAACCAGAGGTAACTTTCTGTACTTCATCCAGTTAAAGAATTTAATTTGTTACCCACTTTACAGACAACAAATTACTTTATTATACGTCAAATGACATTTATAGATGGGTAGGTAATAAAACTCCTCAACTGTACAAATGTTCGCTATATTTCAGTGACAAAAGCTTCTAGATTATAGATTGAACAAAAAACGGATCTATTTTATCTCTCTCTATCGGAATCTAGACTTCAACAGGCTTTTTATATCTATATTTCTTTAATGAAACAATCGTTTAAACTAAACTACCGCTTATAGGTTATATTTAAACTCACATAAACTGAATTTTAATGTAATTATTTTTATAATTAAGAGAAAATAAATAAAAAAAAGTAAATAACGTAAAAGGAATACATGACATGTATGTAATGTAGAAAAAGAAAAGACGCGTGGCGACGAGTAAGCGCGCCACCTCCGCCAACAGCAAGCGACAACAGTAGCGCTGCGGTGCGGTATTAGATTCATTTCATTATATTATATAACATTATAATGACACTTGGGAAAAAATAACTATAATTCCTTATTCAATTAACAACAATCTAGAGAAAAAAACGTGTAAACTCGTAAATATTAAATAAAATTGACTTCGGTAAACTTGAACATGGATTAGGTTTCTCGCTTATTGAGTACCTCCGTTCAGACCAATGCATCTCGCTTATCAAAAGTATGACTTTTTTTTTAATTTAATTTTTAATAAAAACTAGTTTTCTTCCCTAACTCCGTCTGCGAGAAATTAAAAAAAAAATAGTTTTTAGCCCTTTTTTGTATCGGAGGGGGGGGGGGG